ATGTTTTCCCCATGGTCAATTATACGTGGCATGTTCACGGGTCGGAAGACCATCTGCGTTGTTTGTTTTTGAGCATGATAATAAAACAAAAAATGTCGTGTATCACAAGGTACTTAAATGAAGAGCAACCTATGTACTAAAATACAGAAATAATTATGAATGATTAATATACGTATTTAATTTTTGTTGTATTTTTTCCAATAAAAAAAACTGCCTATTTATTGACATTAAGATAAGACGGAACAAAGTTCGCCGGGTCAGCTAGTATAATATAAATGTATTTATAAAGTATATAATAAAAAAAATATTTTAATCGATTATCTTAAAAAACAACAAAGTTGAATAAATCGATCGTATGGCAGCTATGAGATATATTCGTTCGATCCTATTCTTTTTAACATATATGTTGCCTAAGGATTCCGATACTAAGGATAACGATTAGTAAAGTTTTATCTCGATATCTCTAAAATTGAACGAGTTATTTATTTTGGCCAACAAAAGTGGTCGTTGGCCCCATAATGAACTGGCTCAACTTATGGGAAGTGAACTCATCCATACGACTGCGTACCACCAAAGACCAATATAATCACTAAGATGCGTAACGCCCATACATTGGTTTTGCAATATGCAGCTCGTTTTTTGGTGGCGACGAAAATTCCGCTCTCTCCGCTCGCACAAAGTTGAGAGCGTAAAAATCTAAAAATAGAATTGCACAAATAAGGAAGTGCGTATGTGTGCGTATTTGTTCGAGAAGACGATTTTCGTCCAGAAATCATTTCTGGACTAAGAAACTAATTGTGTGTCAAAAGAACTTCTATGATTGAACAGGATGATTATTTAAATTGCATTTATGTATATACGGCAATGAAGCTTGATGTAAAACTTTTTTATATACCTTAAATATTAATATCTGCATATTTAATTCATAGTTTCGTTTTACATATTTAAATTAAAGCTAAAAACATAACTTTTAATACAAAACATATAAAACTGCTTGATTAAATTTAAAACAAGAGAGAACGCTATAGTCGGGTGCCCCGACTATCAGATACCCGTTACTCAGGTAAAGGGAGTGCGAGGGAGATGGAGATAGAAACTTTGATCACGCATAACTTTTTAACGAATGGTCCGATTTGAAAAATTTCTTCTACATTTCGATAGGTATTGATAAACACAATAAAACTGCATTTTTACTTTTCCGAAATATTTAAATTTTTTAAATCGTATTTACACGATTGTGGGCGTTAAAGGGGACGTGGCACCTTTTTGAAACAAACTTGCGCTGCGTAGGGAATCCTAGAATTTGCATGCAAAATGCCAATCTTCTAGCTTTTATAGTTTCCGAGATCTCAGCGTTCATACGGACGGACAGACAGACGGACAGACGGACAGACAGACAGACGGACAGACGGACATGGCTATATCGACTCGGCTAGTGACCCTGATCAAGAATATATATACTTTATAGGGTCGGAAACGCTTCCTTCTAGCTGTTACATACTTTTGCACGAATACAATATACCCTTTTACTCTACGAGTAACGGGTATAAATATTTCAATAAAGTTTAATATATTTGAATATACTATGATTGTTAAACAAAAACAAAGCGAAGTTTATTTAAATTGAATATATTTAAAGGATTTTAAATTAAATATATGTCGCTTTATTTTTTATCCATGGCTGTTTTTATTAACTTTAAAATGGAAATATTAAATTTAATTTTTATTCAAATATATTAAATTTTGATCTAATGACTTAAAATATTTAAAGTAAATACGAATAACATCATATCTAATATTATCAACCTGCACTTAAATCTATTCTTATTTACTCAAGTAGTTTTATATGTTTTGTGTTAAAAGGTATAAATAATTTAAATATATAAAACGAAAAATTTAATTTAATATTCAGATATTGATTTTTATTTATCCATCTTTTTTTTTTGTATACCCAATAAATATTTAAAGCTCATATTATTATTTTATAAAAAGTTAAACTTTTTTTATAATATAATATTATATAATACTTATAATATAAAAATACCACATATTTTTTAATCCATATATTTAAAATTCAATAAATATAAAAATATTCATCCTGTTCAATCGCAAAATTTCTGAGCCTCCTAAAAATCGTTCACAAGTCGCATGCTGAATACCCTAATGACAATTATTCCAATGTGAAGTCATGTATGAAATAAATTATGTTATTTTTTTATACTTAGATATATTTGGTCATTACTAAAAAATATTATACATTCGAATAATTAGTAAATAAAGTAAATATAAAGGCAATACAAAATAAGTATTTTTATACCCTTGCAGAGGGTATTATAATTTCAGTCAAAAGTTTGCAACGCAGTGAAGGAGACATTTCCGACCCTATAAAGTATATATATTCTTGATCAGCATCACCAGGAGAGTCGTCTAGCCTTGTCCGTCTGTCCGTCCGTCTGTCCGTCCGTCTGTCCGTCTGTCCGTCCGTCCGTTTCTACGCAAACTAGTCCCTCAGTTTTAAAGCTATCTGCTTGAAACTTTCCCAAAAGTTGTCTTTCTATTGCAGGTAGTATATAAGTCGGAACGAGCCGGATCGGGCCACTATGTCATATAGCTGCCATATAACTGAACGATCGGAAATGCCATAACTTTGATGTTTTTTAAGTTAGGAAGTTGGGATTTTCTATGGGTTTTATTTTTGGACAATCAATCCGACCTACCAAATTTCATAAGGATCGGCCGACTATATCCTATAGCTGCCATATAACTGAACGATTGGAAATGACATAACTTTGGTGTTTTTAAAGTTAGGAAGTTGGGATTTTTTATGAGTATTAAGAATGCATCATATGAATAACCGATCCGGTTTTGGAGAATATAATTTACAGAATATTCTGCAAGGGTATATCAACTTCGGCTCCGCCCGAAGTTAGCTTTCTTTCTTGTTAATAATGTTATAATTTTAAAATAAAGAGTATATTTCGACAGCGCGCTGCAGCGAATTTCTTCGCTTGTGAATACATGTGCACACATACATTCGTCGAAGTCAAACGGCATGGTCGAAGGATGGCACAGGTCTTTTAAGGCTGCGAAGATGTGTCACCCAAACATTCCTTGGCCAGAACTGCTACCTGTCGTCTTGGAATAGACAAATGCTCGTATTCATTCGCACGGATGCCGCCAAACAGCCTTTGGAGCCACCATACACTGGCCCATTTGAAGTTGTACATCGCAATAATGACCGAGTATTTACGTTAAATGTCAACGGAAAAGAAGTAGCAGTGTCTGTTGACAGAATAAAACCCGCTTTCATTCTTAGAAGCGATGCTCAACTGGACTTCCAACCTGAAAGCAATGGGAAACCACGAACCTACGAGAAGCGAAGAGTCCAATTCATAACATCGTGACTTCGTCACTAGGGAGAAGGTACTTTGGCGGTCCAGATAAAGAACTCGCACAGCGGACGGAAGCAGTACCAGAACAAAATCCTAAATTGAAAAGACTAGACTGGTCACACTCTCTCGACCAGGATCAAGCGTCGAAGACAACGTGTGACTCTGTAAATTATTAATCTGTAAATTAAAACTAATAAAACTTTATATATCAAATTATAGTAACCAACATGTGTTACCATACTCTTGCGAAAGTGATGCCATCGGGCGGTGGTGCTAAGTACTTCATATTCATATTCATATTCATATTCATATTCATATTCATATTCATATTCATATTCATATTCATATTCATATTCATATTCATATTCATATTCATATTCATATTCATATTCATATTCATATTCATATTCATATTCATATTCATATTCATATTCATATTCATATTCATATTCATATTCATATTCATATTCATATTCATATTCATATTCATATTCATATTCATATTCATATTCATATTCATATTCATATTCATATTCATATTCATATTCATATTCATATTCATATTCATATTCATATTCATATTCATATTCATATTCATATTCATATTCATATTCATATTCATATTCATATTCATATTCATATTCATATTCATATTCATATTCATATTCATATTCATATTCATATTCATATTCATATTCATATTCATATTCATATTCATATTCATATTCATATTCATATTCATATTCATATTCATATTCATATTCATATTCATATTCATATTCATATTCATATTCATATTCATATTCATATTCATATTCATATTCATATTCATATTCATATTCATATTCATATTCATATTCATATTCATATTCATATTCATATTCATATTCATATTCATATTCATATTCATATTCATATTCATATTCATATTCATATTCATATTCATATTCATATTCATATTCATATTCATATTCATATTCATATTCATATTCATATTCATATTCATATTCATATTCATATTCATATTCATATTCATATTCATATTCATATTCATATTCATATTCATATTCATATTCATATTCATATTCATATTCATATTCATATTCATATTCATATTCATATTCATATTCATATTCATATTCATATTCATATTCATATTCATATTCATATTCATATTCATATTCATATTCATATTCATATTCATATTCATATTCATATTCATATTCATATTCATATTCATATTCATATTCATATTCATATTCATATTCATATTCATATTCATATTCATATTCATATTCATATCTGAATTAAAATGAATAAAGTTTGTATGAAGTTTAAGAAAACCTTTATAAATAACAATATGTTTTTATCTATTTCCCGCTGTCCAAGAAAGTTTTTCAAAATGTCGTAGAATCAGTAGTGTATAGAAACGGAGAACCAAACAAATAGTTCAAGTCTCAATTTGAAAATTGCTGGTAGTTTTGAATTACGTCCACGATTTATAGAAAGACACGAAGCTAAGATATATTTTGATATGATATATTTTGAAACAGTTTTGATATATTTTGAAACAGAATAAAAAAGTTGATAAAAATATTTGCTACTCACATTGTTTCAAAAACAGACGTAAAGCAAACCAAATGCAATTCTCAAATAGATGGAGGGGCATCTGCGGGGTGGACAGTATCTTCTTATGCTTGAACTTTAAAACGCACGGTGTAATTTCCTTTATGTAGACCATGTAGATTCGCATTTCCCCAAGGAGTTCGAGATCTGGTACGATTGGACGTCGACGCCAGATATAGGGCATGGCGATAATACCGTAGAAGATAGGACCGGAAAAGATGATCGTGAGAATAAGATATGGCCAAATGTCTTGCTTAAAGGGACGCATTATGGCCAGGGCTTCGTTAAGGCGCCTGGGGGCATGTGTGGCGAAGGCCCCTGAATCGGCCAGGGTGAAGAATGAGAACTCGATTGCCTTACGACGCTCCCAGCTTAGACCAACGTCGCCCAACAAAAAATCTGCCTGCTGCCGGAGAAAATAATTATTACCTGATTTAGCTTAAGAACATAACCACTCACTCCATTTTGCAGCAATCCTATGCCACCGGTAAAACTATCGTTCGACTCTCTAGCATCGTCAGATCTCATTGAGCCCTGTGTTCGTCCAGGGGCTTCGATGTACTTGAATCGAAAGTTCATGTGCTGGGCCAATAGCATGAGCAGACGGTGATCGCGTCCACCCGTGACTAGCACCTCTTTGTACTCCGTGCCGTCAAGGATCTTCAACTCATCGTCCTCCTTGTAGCTATTATTGCAATAATTTACCCAAAACCACGGCGGAGACTGCAAGCAAAGAGCTTTTATAAGGCCCGACTTAAATCTCTCGAACCACTCGACTTTACATGAAATACTGGTACCCGGAAAACGCGACCTTCAAAGTTGGCGTAGACGGAAGCTGCGGTTGGGAGGAGAGGGCTCCGCTGAAGGCCAAGGTTATCACCGTCGTACCAGTTTACCAGCTGCAGGTGACTAACGTTGCGTGGCCGGGCCTGGTTGTAGTAAATACGGAAGGCCTTGTGGCGGGGATGGGTAACCACAACTGCCCGCAGCGGTTCCCTAAAACTCATTGTACTTGCCCTTGGCGGATAATGTGCTCCCCAATAGAAGATAAACAAACTAAGTCGATGGGCTAAGCGGCGCTCTTGGAGGCTACTTAACAGCTCCTTCGGCTCGTCCAGGATTAGGCTGACGCACTCGTTGGCGCCCAGGAGATTGGCCTCAATGTGCTGAAAAAAAAGCTCCGTGTCGCTGAAAATAGCCGATTTATAATAAAGCCGATGAAGCCGCTGCAGAAAATCATCCACATTAATTCGACGATCTTTCCAACAGCTCTCGTCAGTGAGAGCGAAGCTGGGAAGTGCCAATATGGCCAGAGAGAGTGGTCGCAGGCCGCTGATAATTTGCGCGAGCGCTGAAGGCCAAGGGTTTAGAAAAGTTTTGGTTAGTAATAAGGAGCACAAACCTATTGAAATGTCAGACTCATTGCAGGGTTGAACAATTAGCCTGGCGCCGTCCAATGAACCCAGCGGATAGAGCAGTAGGCCCAATGCAACCAGATACTTATTCATCTTGCATTAATGGCGCAGAATTGATTTTCCTGCCTTATATACCCCATTTGATGAATCTTTGCTATGCAATTATGGCATCAATGTCTATAAATCACATGTCAGCAGTCTGACAACTCGGACAACTTGAAAAGTTGTAAGCTCTACTGAACTATAATAGGCCAAATATCGATTTTGTATGGTAGAGTGCAAGTGCTTGCACTTTATCAAAGCAATAGTATTTGTACTAAACGAATATTATTATTTATCTACCAAGAAATTGTATTCGTAGGAAAGTGTGTCACAGGTGAAAAGAATTGTTGAAACTATATCTACATCTGCACATATAAACGTCAAGATCTTGGGAACTTGAAAATGTAGAAAGTTTTTGGGATTAAAAAATCAAATCTGAAATCTTTGATGGTATATAAATGTTCAGGGTCTCAATAAATTTAAATTTAAAATTTTTTGGGTAAATAGTTCGACAAAATTTTTTTTTAGTCCTTCTCCCGGTTATACTTATGTTAACCTTAAAGCAATGCTTTTTTAAGATACTTAAAAATATAAATGGAACCATAAGTTGTATTTATTTTCCATTCACCTTAATCTAGGCAGTTGGAATCTCAATTTAAACCCCCCTTGATTCACATTTTACGTATTTCCAAGACCTTTGTTGATGTTTTTATTACGAAGATACCAAGAGTGTTACAAAGCAGGACCTTAAATGTATTTTCGTAAGGTAGGAAGCCTGTCGGATGCCGAGAAACGTTACATCGCTGGCTTGGTGAATTTACTTGGCGATTGTCTGCTAACAGCAAACGCTAAGTGCTTACACTTTTTTTTCGCATGCTTGAACACACCAGTCTGATAGCCACTTTTCAAGTATCATTAGGTAACCAGGAAATGGTCGGTTGCTGTAGCTGGGCTTATCGAGCAGCTTAAAGTCGCGGTGTCGTTAGCGGACGTGCATGTTGTTAGACACTCGTTCATAGGAATACCCGCTGTTAATAGTTCAAATAGACTATTACGAGACTAAATTGTGTAGTTCAGCTCAGTTTTCTTTGATGCGGGCCCAATTACCTGACGCTTTTTGTAATAACTAGGCAATATACCAGAAATTGCTAAGTGAACTTGATGTTTTCAACTCCAGACTAAAAATGCAACAACTCACTCAGTAGGAATAAAATCATTAAATAAACACCAAATAATAAAACCTCCATCCCCACAAGCTATACCACAAGAAGAAAATCTATATATAAAATTATATTATATATGTCGGCGGCAAGGGTATGTCGGCCGGCGGCAAGGGTATGTTATCCATGTTGATTCTTTTGATGATTGACGCAGCTGCACAGCGAGTTCCGATCGGTTCGAATACCCAAGCTCCACTAACTATTTCAGCATATGCGCTCACGTCATAAACTCACTCAAGTCGAGCGTATGCAGCCAGTTCTGTCTTACTCAAGACTCTTGGTATCTTACCATCGAACCTCAGCAGCAGAGCGTCTCTGCCTCTGCTGCCGTGCTTTCGCTCAATATCAGCTAGTAAAGCAGAAGCAGGGAATTCCCCGAATTCCCAAATTACCAGAATGCTACATCTACTAGGAATCACACCACCCATGTCCAAGTCACACACCAGACTCTTTTAATTATGGTATCTCTTGGTTTTAATAACATTATTCTCTCTTACAATTTACAAACTTACAGAGCCGCTTACACAAACATTGACTGACAATTTTTCATATCTAGGAAACACAATTTCCTTTTGTTTACAAACATAATACATCTTCAACTTCATGATCTTATTCACATCATTCAATTCTAATCAGAATTTTCCAATAATTCAGATGTTACACAACTTAGACTTGTCTCTCAGTTTCTCAATTCAATTTGGTGTGCACACTTACACCCAATCACCTTGACCCCCGCCATAACACTTCTCATCTCTGTGAGACAGCTGTTTATGGTGCGGTCCTCAATTCCCCTCTTGGGACACAGGCGCACGCTTACTGACGCCGTCTATTAGTTCGTTCCCCTCCTGGGAATCGCCATCACATAGGCCATCGAATTCTTCGTTTAATTCGTTAATTATTTGTCTGCTTGGTAGCGCTCTTAGCCACTCATGTGAATATTTATACGTTCGCTTATTAACTAATGATTTTAGTTCATATCGATCCCCGTCTAAGACTTTGATCACCTCAAATGGACCTTTAAATTTGGGGTCGAGCTTTGTCTGATGCCGTTCTTCGTTTTTCAGCAAAACATGATCACCTACGTTATGCCTCATTATCTTTGCTTTTTTTTTGTCAAATCTTTGTTTGTCATATCTTGCATTATTTTCCATGTTTTCCTTGGCTTGAATTCTAATCTGTTCTCTATCTACATCATTGTCTTCTTCGTTTATTGACAATAAACCAAAAGGCCTAGCTTCTTTTCCTATTAATAGCTCTAAGGCGCTAAACTTGGTGACTCGATTTGCAGTACAATTCATGGCCAGTTGTACTTCAGCCAATGCCTCCTGCCATGATCTCTGACTCGCTTCAACTGCTGTCAGCATTGTCTTAAGTGTGCTCATCACGCGTTCAACCTGTCCATTTGCCCTACTAGCTCCGGTAGCGATCAAATGCAGCTGAATCTTTTGAGCGGAACAGAAATTGCGAAAGCCTGAGCTAGCAAAACAATGACCTTCTTCCGCTATTATTCTAGTTGGCAATCCAAATAGCGCCACAACCGATTTCACAGCTTTAATACAGCTTTCGGTGTCTATATTCAGTGTGTGGTAAAAATAAAAAAACTTGGTGAATGCTTAATAGATGCATACAATGACGTATTCCTTCAAGTCGTTTTTGCCACTCATTTTACCCGTTATGTCGATGTGTACTGTGTGCCTCTCTATCTTAGGAATTGGATGCAATTCTGCCTGGACCTTTCCATTTGGGGGTTTTGCTAGTTTGCACGTGATACAATTTTCGACAAATCTACGTACATACTTGGTCATATTCTCAAACCAGTAATATCCATATACCTTATCTAATGTTTTTTCCCATCCCAAATGCATAACAGATTCGTGTATGTGGTTGATCACTGCCCACCTAAACGCCCTTGGAATTATCGGCAAGCACCTTGTTTTACCATTCCTCTGTATTTCCCTTTCTTAATTCAAATGTTTTATTTAAATTTTCCGGTAACTCGTTATTGCGTAACTTGGATGAAATATTGATTATTTCAGGATCGCGCTGCTGTTCGGACACCAACCAATTGTCGGTCACTTCAGTAAGATTTAAACGCTTCTCAATTATTTTATCCGCACACTTATTTCCTTCTGAAAGTGGATTTCGGGAAAGGAAATCGACATGCGCCATTCGCTCCCCTTTTCTATATTCAAGATCGAAATCAAATGACTGTAAAAACCCCCACCATCTATGCACTCTTGGTGTTAATTCCATTTTGGTGCGACTGGCCTTTAAAGAGTTACAATCAGTGTAGACGACAAATTTACGACCTTGTAAATAATGCCTAAAATGCTTCATAGCATTGACAACTGTAAAGTCTCGAGTTCGTACGAGCGGTATTTTGCTTCTGCCGGATAAGTACATTTGCTATAATACTCCACTACATAGGATTTATTTTCGATTTTATGTAACAATATCGCCCCGTAACCAATGGAGCTGGCATCTGTGTGCAATTCTATTGGATATTGTGGATCAAATATAGTTAATACTGGGGCCTGTGTCAATACACCTATTATTTTCAAACGTATTTGTTCATGTTCTGACAACCAGACAAAATAAGCATTATTCTTTGAAGTAAGCGTATACAATGGTTTCGGAAAATTTTGGAATGAATTGTCGAAAGTAAGAAGCTAAACCAATGAACTGTCGTAATTAAGTAACAGTTTCCGGAGGTGGCAACCCTATCAATGCCTGGATCTTTCGTGCATTTGGCCGAATTTCTCCATTCGTTATTTCAAACCCAAAATACTCGATTTTAGTTTTAAAAAACGAACATTTTGTTATATTGAATGAAAATCCGGCTTTACTTAAGGTGTCCAACACTATCTCTAGTCGTTCTAACGCTTTATCTTTCGTTTTAGCTACTACCATAACATCGTCAATGTAAACAATTACATATGTGTGTGCCAACGGACCCAGGGCTTTTATTATTGTACGCTGAAACACAGAAGGTGCGTTCTTCAGACCAAAGGGCATGGTTAAGAATTCGTACTGTCCATCAGGTGTAACGAAGGCCGTTCGCTCAATTGAATCTGGGTGTACAAAGATTTGGTAAAATCCACTTGCCATATCTATACACGAAAAGTACCTTGCACCACGAAGACGAGCTATTTGATCCGAAATAAGAGGCAAAGGATATTTATCGGCAATCGTATTGTCGTTTAAAACGCGGTAATCTACACAAAGACGATCTGTGCCATTTTTCTTCTTAACCAGCATCATGGGACTAGCGAATGGTGAGCAGCTGGGACGACTAATTTTTGATGTAAGCAATTCATCAATTTTGCACCGAACGTGCTTCCTCTCATCATCGCTAAGCCTATAAGGTCGGCGCTGCACAGTCTTTTGTGGATCTATTAGCCTAATTTCTAAATAACCTGTCGTCACACGAGTCATTGGAATTCCGTCAATAAACCTATCAGAGTGACATCTCAACATATTGCTTATTATCGTCTTATCAGAATCGTTTAAATTGGTATCAGAATTTATGATTTCTTCATACTTCACTAGACTCAGAACATTTACTCTTTTTGTCTTATAAAAGCAAAATTTATCTGCATCAATTGATACACCAAAGCCCAGGCTTAAAACTTCACGGGCAATCAACACGTCATGCTTCGAATATTTGTCCATAACTACATGTAATAAAACTTCTAAACAATATTGTTCAATATTAATATTACTCAGAACTTGCAATGTGCTACAAATTGAATCGTTACTTATGCCATTTAAAGTTACAATATTGTGAAATCGTTTTCCGGTGAATTTATCCGCAACCCTCTCCTTGACTAG